ATCTCGTGGTTGAAAAATCTCCGACAATGGTTTGGGATGACCTCAGCGGAGGTGTTTCGCAGAGCAGTCAACTAAACCATGATAGCCTTGATGATCGCCAACATCCGGACCGGATAACGCACTGAATAAGAAGAAGGATAATAAATTTCGTTCATCCTTTCATTGAAAACGTAATTAGGAGACGAACTTTATAAAGCCTATTAACAGATTTGTCTTCATTTACCTTTGGGTCTCTTGCGAAGTGAAGACATCTTTGAATCAGTAAAAATCTGATTATACTCATATTTTTCGAAAATGCCACAAAATTGAACAAATTGTTTTGTTTCCAATAATTCACCACACGGTTTAGTCCAATTGTTTCCATATATGTAAAACAAGTCCAATGAAAATTTAAAATTGTTGATTTGTCAGCTTTTTCCACACCGTTATTCTCGATTTTTGTTTTGTTTTAGGGCCCAGAAAAAATTCTATTGCATATTCATTTATTTCAGACACTATGTGCTCAATGAATTTGTCCGTCCACAAATTCCTAAAGTAATCAATTGGCTGGTTACTAGAAACAGGAATAAGCATGTTGTCTTGTTTGATAAATGGAAAATGTTTCATCGAATCAAAAGTATTATGCCAATTAACTGTGGCCTATTCAAAAGTACTATCTAGTAGACTAGCCGTTTCTGTATTTGTAAAACTTGCCAATGCCACTTGCTCATCAATCTCGGATTCATCACTTTCACTACCTCCAACAAAATCACTACCATCATCGAAATCGTCTATGTAATCATCAGAAGAACACTCGTTTTCTAAGTAATAAAGTAATTCTGTGTCGGTCAGAGACTTTCTGGACAATTTACCCCTTTTAGGCTTAGACGGATCAGCAACACAGTCGTCCATATTCACGTCAAACGTTACAGCACTGAAGCAAAAACATCGCGGGACCAATAAAATTATAGGCAAAAGCAAAGCCTTAAGTATGTGCCGACACAATATCAACAGTTCGACTGTAGACCTGACTGAAATAATTTACTTTAAAGATAGTGTTGCTGGTCACGCCTAGTGGCGTGATCGGCACGTGATACACGGTTGTCAATCACGCCTAGGATCGTCATCTGCAATGAATGTGTTAAGCCACGATATTCTTCGTCTTCCCATATTTCCCTTTCCTTAAATTTTGCCTTACATAATAAACTGCAATAAAGAGTATTTTTGCCCTCTGATAACATGGCCTAAGCACTCAAGTTTTTTCGTTTGATAGTCAATATTATTTGAGTTTCATTTCCTATTCTTCTAGTAACTGTTTAAGTTTTACGAATGATGATCGTGCTATTTCAATACGTATCTTAATTTCTTTGGTTTGGTCTACATTTTGTGTTATCTATGTTCCAAGTATCTATCCAATCATTTGTAGATATCCATATTCTCAATTAGAGTATCCTCAACAATCAATTAGATGTTTGCATATGCTAATTTAGTCATGATAATGCATTTAGTTTTTTTTCAAATTCTCATGTGATTCCAATATAAATTAGATATAATTTTCATGACTGAAAGACCGGAGGAGATAGTTTGACTGCTCATCCGCAGAAATCTTTCGCGCAGCAGTTTCCAAAACCACAATTGCCATTTGGATCGCCAACCTTCGAAAAGAGACTGCGGCATAAGAAGAAAAATAATTTTCATATCACAACTGTCAATAAATTTACTTTTTAATATTTCGCCAAGCTTGTTATGTTAAACCTTATCAAATGCCTTTTCAAAATCTACAAAACTTAAGTACATGTCCCGATTTATATCCATACACCTCTGGTCCAGCACATTCAAGCCGAACAAATGGGTGCATATACTTGGATTATATTTATTCTATGTTTAAAATGGAGTTGAGAGACAGCATCAACACTCGATAAGAGCAGGGAACAAAGTAACAAACAGCTTTTTGATAATTCTTATCAACTATAATGCCAACTCTCTGTGATGTAATTGGAGGTCTTGCTGCCGGAAAAATATATTTTTCCATTTTTAGTGTTACATTTTCTTGATTCAGGCCATTGTGTATCGCTAAGCCCTAGTATGTTAATCTTAATTCTGCACGTTTCCGATGCAGTATTATCTAGTCTGCCAGATTGATATAAACTTCTTGCGTTCCATGTTCCAATGGAATTCCAATGACGACATGAGAGGCTCTGTTGTCTAAACCTGATTGTCCTCCCCTGCCGGATCTTGGATTCCGAGCTTCATGATCATTAAGTAAATTATCGACTATTGGCTTCATGATGAGTTTTACTAGGGATATCCATGCGAAACTTTATTGTTGCAGTCATCCCGTTTTCTACATCTCAATGCCGTTGACAAATTTAGCCTTCGAAGCTTTCGGAGGTAATTGCTCAGCTCCAAGCCCACGTGTCAGTTCTTCCACCCGTAGCTGTTAGGGTTGTTCCAGCAACAAGTGGAGATTACTTATACCGGTAATCGTTCGATTAATTTAAAACTTGTAGTATCCAATAATGGACCGATCCAGGATCATTACCCTTACGCTCTATCTTAGTACTTGTGATGCCACTACCCGTCATCAGAGTAGAATATGGGAAAGAAAACTTTGGTAATTAGATGAAGAATATGTATAGGATATAATTTCTCGTAAGTACCAGGAAATTTTAAAATAATTATGGCTCACGTGGACAGGGTTGCATCCCTGAAGTAGATCTATCTTCTACCGGGAACGTAAAAAAGCATCTACCCGCTACACTAACAGGTAGGTGCATGTTCCAAATTATAAGAGGCGCCGCATTTGCATTTATTATCTGTTTCGAGTATGAGACCTAACTTTATTTTATTTACAAATTTATGATGAAATTGTTAATGATGAAATTTTCGAAGTGATATTCGTATGACAGCGACTTGTACAGTGTGACATCTAGGTAGATCGGTTCCTCTATGTGTTCTAGATTGAGAACATCCGATCGGACTAGGTAATAGTTTAACATAGTATCAAGTATTTGTTCTTGGTTATCTTTTACCTCCACGAAGGTTGTACAGTGTTATTTAGATCGTCAGGTAAGGCAGTAGCTAGGCCAATATTTTGTGCTATACATCAGCTTCGCTTTCGCTTCATCATCACATAGAGTTATCTGTTTTTCAGCAAGAACTCGACAATTTGTACTCGATGGTAATTCTAAAGTTTATTATAGAGTTTTATTTAGTGCATCATAGGCGGAGCTCTGGTTGACAGTACCCATGGTATAAATAATAACAGGTATGATATTGCGCAGGGCACTGTCAGTAGATCCCCTACTCTTGAGGTCACAATATGAGTTACCGTCATTGTAATATATCGGTGTATAACGGAAATTTTATCAATTTTTTAGCTTATGGCTTCTTTGGTAAGCTTTTTTCAGATTGTATGGTGTTTTGTGAGATTTAAGTTAATTTGTAGGCTTTTTAGTGTAAAGAAATTATTATGAGAAATATTTTGAACTCTTTATGCAATTTTATAAGTGGTTGTGGCTTTGTAGGTATAACTACTTTATATATAGAGAATAATTTGGTGTTTTACATGTTATAAATAAGGTATGTTTAATTATTATTGTGTCAGTATTTAATACCCAACCATACTCATACCCCTCCTGCATTTTTTAGGGACTTTAGCTTAGAACAAAATAATAAGCTAAACATAAAATGCGTTGTGTAGTAGCTGGTTGTTTGAGTATTAATCAGACAAGACATGCCGATATATCTGGTAGGTTTCATGGTTTCCTCAAGGACCCGGTAGTGGAAAACTGTGGGTTAAAGTTTGTTGTCGTGAAGACAAATTTAATACAAAAAAAACTTCAAATACTTCATGAATGATGCTGTTCATTTTCTTTATCTGCCACAATCGAAACTTTTATTCATAAATCAACATAACAGGCAGAAAAGACTTTCCAAAAGAGAGTCGAAGGGGAATTGTGGAACAGATAATTACACAATATTTTTTGCTCTCTATTTTAGATCTATTTTAGAATTAGGAAATTAAACCTAACACTTAAAGAAAAAATAGGAAATAAGAGAAAATTAAAGAAAATTGTAACTTAAAACCTTTGTTTTGTCGATTTTATTACAGATAATAAAATTTACGAAGGATACCTTCATAGGATTAAAAATCGAAGAATACAAAAAAAGTTTTAAAATTTATTTATTTTACAGATTTATTTTTGTTCACTGTATTATTTATTAATTTTTTATATCAAAATAATAAAACACCTATATTTCAATAAATCCAAAATAGTTCAATAGAAAATCTATTAATCTATAAAATGACTTTTAATTGATAATTAAAAAAGCAAGCACAGATGTTTTTATAGGGGAATATTTAAAATCACTCTCATTGTGACGTAATGCGCCATTGTGACCATTCTTTGTACCACGGACAGTACCGTGTTATTTGTTTATTTTGGTATCCTTCTTTTATGTGTTCTGAGAGGACGCAGATTTCAGCTATTTACATAAATAACTTTTTAAGAGCACTTAAATAAGCTTAAGTAGATAACAAATAAAGAGTAGCACTTCTTATTATTTCTTTATGAGCGTTTAACATTTTTAAATATTTCAAATCAATTTGAATTTCCTCCATCTCTCAATTTTGCTCAAATATTTTTATAGACCAAAAAAAGTTTAATTAAAAAAAATCAGAATCTATTTTGTTACAAATTTTTAGATTATGATTAAAAATCGATTTTTGGTATTTTATGAAAGTTTGAGGTTATGTAACAATATTTTTTGCTAAAATTTGGCGAATATTCATTTTTTCTGATGACAAACATTAATCCAAAATTTGGGGTCAAGTTTCCTTTGGTGAAATTGTGTCACTCTTATCCATCTATGCCCTTTATACTCAATATACTACATAGGTCACACTACCTGTAGACATACCAGCTGCAGTCTTTAAATATCTAATAAACTTACACTTACCTTGTCCATATAAGAAATATTTTAAAATTATTAAACTAAAAAATGCACACAGTTCATACCTTTGTTTCTTTTTTATATGAAAATTTAAATCATCTTTATCTCCAGGGTCCTCATCCTCACAAGGTTTCTTCGTTGGATTTGTTTTAATTAGTTTCTTGTTTTTCAGTAGTTTCGCTTCTTTTAATAGACAATGGTCCATACAAAAGTCGAGAGCTATATCTAGTTCTTCATCATCTGGGCATTCCCTGCTGGGACAAGGACTCCACCACACCTAAAAAAATATAAACGTAATGCTAGTCCAGAATAGAATTCTAAACATTAGATTTTAGCCATACAGCTTCCAGATTGAGCTATGGGGGACTCTTTTTAAATTATCCAAGCCCTAGGTTATCAGGTGAACTAAAGCATTTAAAAAAACTTCCCATTTGGACGTTGAATGAAGTACCACTTTCTACATGTTCGCTAAGACTCAACTGTTTTATCTTCTCTAGGAGGTTCTTGGGTAAGAATGGCATCATTAGTAGGATATAATCTATTTGATTTCTTGTTCGTTCATCTGTGTTAAGGTTTGTGTATAATATATGTGAGTGGTGATAATAAAACGTGGTTTAACTGCGAGAAAATACTCTACACAGATCTCCACACGCCGGTCACTCCTCACATATCTCTGTTACAGTCCTTTGCTGCCCAATACTTCTTAAAAATTATACATATATATATATATATATATATATATATATATATATATATATATATATATATATATATTATATATATTATATATATATATATATATATATATATAGTTTGAATTTAGTTCTTGAACCTTAATATATATTTTTTAAGGGATTCTCTTGGGCTTAGGTTCATAAAAAAAATTAGTTTGATACTAAGACATTTTTATATATTTTTTTCAACGTTTCGGCAGGAAATCCATGCCTTTTTCAAGAATATATATTGACTAAAAAAACATTCTATGACAGACATAATACGGTTTAAAAAATAAACTTTTGACTTACCAAGCATGTAAATATTAGGAAATATCAGTGCTTTGTTGGATTTCTATTTAACACCTATATTGGGAAGATTTTTGTTTCTTTCACTTCAATCTTTTATAACTCAACTTTTTTATTTGCAACATTTTATGTATACGAAAAACTTACTTAAATTCTTACTTATAAATTTTTAAAATCTTACTTATAATCTGGAAATGATGATGAAAATGAGTGGCATGATATAGATGAGAGTGATAATGAAGCTGCTGAGTTGAAACAATATTAAAATATATCTATATTATTCTAATGTTAACGAAATAAAAAATCTTAAGGACGCTTACAAGTTATTTGTGACCGATGATCTTTTACACAATATTGTTACTGAAAAAAAAAAGTTTCTTGGGAAATATTGTTAAATATACTTCAATCAAAATGACGTATACGTTCCTGGGTTGACTGCAATATTGCCGAACTTCAACTTTCTTTTTTTTTAGTATGTATAGTTATAGGATTAGTTGATGGTCTAGCAATAAATTTAAATTGGTCGAAAGATCTCATGTTCAGGAATGAGTTTATTTCGAATGCCATGAGACGACAAGTTCCCTTCACTGATGCGTTGATAAGTTAGGTAAATTTTTAAAAATATTAAACAAACATTTTCAAGCTGCATTAACTCCAGAATGGATTTTGGTAGTCGATGAAAGCATAGTACCTTATCAAGGAAGGCTGAAAATATAGCATTATCTGCCAAATAAAACACTGAGCACGAAACCGTCATATTCTGGACTAATATATTTATATACCTTATATATATTTATTCAACCTTATATCAATAATATATTTATATCGACAGACGCCGCGCCGTTTGTCGATATAAAATATACTTACGAAACTATTTCATTTGGAAGATAAGCGTTGAATCCCATACTAAATGTTGAATATTTATTTCTCCGAGCTCTAAAGGTATGTTTAAAGAAAAATTCGAACACTTGGTGTATCACACGCATGTACTATTATTTTGGGGCCACTAAATTATGACAAAGCTCTAGGAAAGGATTAATTTATTTAAGGCATTCTTAATTAATTATTAAATACGGTAAAATACATCTTATCTTACCTCAACGTACATCTTCTTTGGATGTCTAATAATATATCCACTGGGCACGGTTCCAGGTGTTTCTTGATGGGGCATTAACAACAGGGAGTGATGCAATATTGCCGTAAGAATAAAACATCCAATGACTACAGGCTTATACTTGCCAAATTTATCCACTAAGTAACCTGTTGCCGGAGGCGCAAGGAATGTGGTGAATGGCAAGCACAGGTAAATGATGGCGATCTGTTCCATCGAAAGACCGATGCTCTGCATGTGAATGGTGAGGTAAGGGACAAGCGACGATGTAGCTAAAATAATAAAAACAGTTTTGTATTGAGTTTTACTAAATTTCTAACATTTCATTATTATATTTTAAATTTGCGATTTTTTAATTAATGACACAGTGAATATTAATATTTAAATGCAATGTACCTATTTTTTTACATAAATATTATGAAAGAAATCGCTTAATATTACTCCCATTTTTTTCTAGCTATTATAAGAATTGTTGGCCTCAGACACTCTTTTAACAAATTTCACCAACCAAACTTGTTTTTAAAAATCTGCAATCCAATATCGCACCAGTAAGAGAGCACAAAAAGATTAATAATAATCCTACTTTACCTATTATCTAGCCATGAAGGTCCTCTGTTCAATATGTCCACTCTTCTTGTTGCCAACTCCATGTATTATGCGCTGCTCTTATCCAATGTTTATTTAATTATCTTTAAGTTGTCGATCCATCGGATTTGTAGTATTCAAACAATAATTCTGGATTACAACCCCTTTTTCATGTGGCTGATATAAATGTTACGCTTCGTAGCTAGTACTAGATTGTTGATGGATCTGCTTTACCTTGGAGCAGTTCCAGTTAGCCTTCAACTTGCTTTGTATACCTGATGGACTATACCTCTTCAGTTTGGGTCCCAGCTTAAGTTCACTTTTCTGAAGCACATGAAATGCATGCGAATTACTAGATTTCACGAAATAATTGAGATGTGTGACCTCTTACTTCTGGTAAGTTACTAATCCAACAAAACCTTTATTTTCTAATGAAGTTAATCATTTTCTACGCGGCACTTGTGTAGGATAAGGCAGTCTTAACAAAGTCTCAACCAGGAATCTTACCAAAGTAGATAGGAAGAGTCTGTTAGAGGTGACACGTATAAAAGGGAAAAGTTTAAAAAATGGTATTGTATAGCATGACAAAGGTAATGAAATAAGATGATAAAGACGATGGACTTGGCTCTCTAAACAAGGCCATGTTTGTATACTTAGTTCATAATAATAATTCACTAATATTTTAGCTAAGAAACACGTTTACAAGCTTGATCTACTTTCGTGTTCCTATGTAGGTAAATATATCAACTAAATCTATTAAGCTATTCTTACACTTATTAATGAGAATAAGGGTTGGTTTCTCTGATTCTATAGTGGTGTAGCAGACAAAATCGCTGATTATAAATCGGATAAGGTTGATGAATACTTTCTGACAATGATAAATACTTCAAAATGTACTTTAAACACCACATGTACTTTAACAGTCACCACAACAAATGGGGATATGAAAACAATGATGAAAATGGGGAGAAACTACTGGAGTGGGCCGAAGAAAATAATATTCACCTTGTCCATAGTCTAAAAGATAAAACTACCTTCTTTTCTAGAAGATGGCGCAAAGGCTACAACCCTGATCTATGCTGGGTTTCCACTAACTCACAGATGCAACCACTCCCAAGCTCTCGAACTGTACTTTCCAGTTTCCCTCACAGCCAACATCGACCTGTCATAATCGAACTAGGCATACAAATTCCTATCGTTGAATCCACGCCGAGACCCCGTTGGAATTTTAACAAAGGAAATTGGCCCGAATTCACCAAAGAGCTGGACACCTGCATTCGCTTCATTGACCCAAAGGCCAACAACTATCACCGTTTTGTAGGAATGGTTATCTCTATCGCCAAAAAACATATCCCCCGAGGTTTCCGAAAGGAGTACATCCCAGGCTGGACGGAAGAAAGCCAAAAACTATATGACGAATTTTTGAAATCAGAAGATCCCGAAATTGGTGACAACTTACTGAAGTCACTGGACTCAACAAGACTTAATAAATGGAAGTCTACCGTAGAACATATTGATTTCTCACGTTCCAGTCGAAAAGCATGGGGACTGATTCGCAAACTGGGCGAAGCAAGCAGAGCGCAACAGTTAAACAGATCAACAATTGAGCCAAATAAAATAGTCAATAGAATAATTGAGAACTCCCGAGCTCCATCTGAGAAAACTCATACATCTACCGTAAAAAGAGCTCTTAAACAACTTAAAGTAAATACTCCCGCAACATCAGAATACTCACGTGCCTTCTCATTGGATGAAATAAACGAAGCGCTTAACCAAACTAAAACAGGAAAAGCAGCAGGCTTCGATGGAATGTATCCTGAGTTTATAGTCCACACTGGTACAAAAACACGACAGTGGCTCAAAAAAATCTTTAGCGACATTGTGAATACAACTGTGCTACCCCCAGAATTCAAAAGAACAAAAATTATCGCAATCCAGAAGCCTGGCAAAGACAACAAGCTGCCTGAAAGTTACCGGCCTATTGCCTTACTTAGTTGCTGTTATAAATTACTAGAACGACTTTTATATAACCGAATATGTAACACCATTGAGGATGCTGTACTAATTGAACAAGCTGGATTTAGAAGAGGACGAAGTTGCTGTGACCAAGTGCTGTCCTTAACTACATTTATTGAAGCTGGCTTTGAAAGACGCGAAAAATCTGCCATAACATTTATAGATCTCACGGCTGCCTATGACACGGTGTGGAGAGAGGGCTTTATTTATAAGCTGATGAAAATCATACCTTGCCTCAAAACTTGTCAGCTGATAAACAATCTACTGACTAACAGACTGTTTCAGGTATATATAAATGATGCACAGAGTAACGTTAGAAAACTCAACAACGGCTTACCTCAAGGCTCAGTGCTAGCTCCTTTATTATTTAACCTTTACACAGCAGATATACCTGAAACAAAATTGAGAAAATTTGCTTATGCTGACGACCTGGCCATTGGCTTCCAAGATAATAGTAAAGAAGCAGGAGAACGAGCTCTAAACGAGGACTTATCTACACTAAGTAACTATTTTAAGAACTGGCGCTTACGTCCTAACACAAGCAAAACTGAAACCTGTCTCTTTCATCTGTCGAATCAACTTGCGGGCGATACTCTCAATGTAACTCTAAATGACACAGCTATCAAACATAACAACAACCCCAAATATCTAGGCGTCACACTTGATAGAACACTCACCTTCAAAAGTCATCTTACAAACGCAGCCGGTAAACTAAGAACACGAAATAACTTAATATCAAAACTTGCTGGAACAACTTGGGGTGCTTCTGCAGATACTCTTCGGACCTCTGCTCTAGCTTTGGTTTTTTCAGTGGCAGAATATTGTGCACCAGTATGGCTAAATAGTGCACATACAAGCAAAATCGATGTCCAACTTAACCAAACCATGAGAATAATCACTGGAACAATAAAATCAACGCCAGTGAGATGGCTGCCTACTCTGAGCAATATCGCTCCACCAGATCTACGCCGTACAGCAGCATTAGTGAGAGAGTACCAGAAAATTGTAGCCAACGTACAATTACCAATACATCAAGATATCCCAGATATCTCAAAAGAGCACCAACGATTGAGATCTAGAAATCCTCCAATACGATCTGCCCGAAAAATTGGTAATTCCTATGATATACATAGGCAATGGACAACAAGATGGATGCCAACAGTAGAATCGGACTATATTAAGATATCCACCCCAACTCAGGGTTTCATCGGATCAAATCTGCCCCGGTCCATTTGGGCAAGGCTTAATCGTATACGTACCGGACATGGTAAATGTGCTGATTCGCTGTTCAGGTGGGGTCGTGCAGAAAGTCCACAGTGCGATTGCGGAGAATCTAGACAGACCATAAGCCATTGTGTTTCAGACTGCTTGAATCGTGCCTACCGTGGAAACCTCCAGGACTTTGCGGAATGTTCCCCAGAAGCAATTGAATGGCTATGTAAATTGGACATTAATATTTAGTGTCATTCATTCTATTCATTCTATTTTTACTATTTTTAGTGTTTGAATGATATATATAATATATATGTGTATATTATTGTAATTGTATTTGTATATTTATCGTACTGTGAAAGTCCATACGCTAAATAAATAACTTCAAAATGTTTGAAAACTGAGTCACACACTGTATTGGCATATGATAGCTAGTTGGCAGAAAAGAAGGTCTGCTTGAGCGAAAGTTGAAAGGCAGATTACAATCAATCACGAAATAGTGGAGAAAATAATAGGATTATTAGATCGCTGAAAAATAATTAAGGAATGTGTAAAGCGAAAGCTACAGAAAAAAAACACGAAACATAATAACTCGACCCGACAGAGGGTACCCAGATACATGTAGAAAGATGATAGAGCGAGAGAGTAAAGAGTGGCCAAATTTGAACATAAATGAAGTGAGAAAAAGAGAGGGATTAAAAAGTCCCCAGTGAAATAAATGTAAAAATGTGCAAGAATCGTGTGTAAACGTGAACGTAGGTAAACGGCGTCGAGCTCCAATTTAGCCGGTAATTCTTGGTTGGTAAGAGATCGTTTCAGTAGGTAGTTCCCCGACAAGGGGCAGCGGTGGTGTTCGACCAACCCCTAAGGCCTTACTTATATATCTCTCGCAACTTGTATCCAGCGGTTTAACTTTTGTACAGCAAAGTAGAGGGGTTTGGAGCCGATCAATTAGAGCAAGTTTTGAGGGAGATAGCATGTAGTTTTATTGCCTTGTCTCTCTTGCGATACTCTTTTCACGCTCACATTATAAAGGCTGCCTTTAATTAGTATATACTCCAAGCTAAAAATAAATCCTGCAAAAACGAGGCTGCTGTGACGTGGTTACGCTCACCTTTTAGGACCGACGGATATGTTTCAAATATTTTTACACAAGGAATCTTTAAAACGGTGTACAAACTATTTTAAACCTCTTAAACACCTATTTAGAATGCCTGACAAACGTTGGTCCTAAAAACTTTACAGATGGAAGCCCCTGGAAGAAGAAAAAGAGATAGACCTAGACGCTCGTGGAATGAAGGAATTAGAAAAGCGATGTAATCGAGAGGTTTGAGGAAGGAGCATGCTTTGGACCGGGAGGATTGGCCGTGGAGAACGGGATAGTTGTCTCCAAATGTATCAAAATGTATTTAAAAGTTGGATCCTGTTACTTTAATTACATAAAATTTTAATATTATCA